CTACACCAAAAGCCATCAAAGAAAGTCCTATAATACATGGACGCTGAACAACACACTGCTTAATCACGTGTGGTTCATGGAAGAGATTAGAAAGGAAATTCAAATGTTCATGATATTCAACAAAAATGAGCACACAAATTGCCAGCTCTTCTGGGACAAAGTAAAGGCAGTATTCAGAGGCAAGTTTATAGCTCTGAGTTCCTACATCAACAAATTGGAGAGACCTGAAACCAACAACTTAATGAGACATCTGAGCCTCCGTGAAAAGAGCAACAAGATAAACCCCAATTCAGTAGATGGAAAGAAATAATTAAAATTAAATCAGAATTAAATGAATTAGAATCCAAAAATCATAGAAAAAAAAATCAACAAAACAAAGAGTTCGTTCTTTGAAAAAATTAACAAAATTGAGAGACCCTTAGCAAATTTTATCAGAGAAAGAAGAGAACACACCCAAATAAATAAACTCAGAGATGAGAATGGAAACATCACAACAGAAACAACCAAGATTCAGAACATTATAAGGGAATATTTCTCAAAACTTTATGCCAATCAGTTTGAGAACTTTGCAGAAATGTAGCTTTTCCTAGCAAATATCGACATGAAACTAAACCAAGGTAAGTTAAACCATCTTAACAGGCCCATATCAAGCACTGAAATAGAAACAGCACAAAAAGACCTCCCATCTAAGAAAAGCCCAGGACCAGTTGCTTTTACAGACGAATTCTTCAAGATTTTCAAAGCACAGCTAACACCGATACTCCTCCAAGTCTTCAATAAAATTGAAAGAGAAAGTCCACCACCTAATTCATTCAATGAAGCCACCTAGACCATGGCGCGCCTCAGTGGGAGCCATTATTCTTAAAAGTGCTAAAAGAATTACAAACAGCAGTAAAAACTATGGGTCCTTCTGCCCCTTTTACTTTAACAATCCTTGACTCCATAGCAACTGATTGGCTAACTCCTTATGATTGGTATCAAACTGCAAAATCAGTGCTAACCCCGGCGCTATAAGTATTATGGAGAACAGAATATGAGGACCTTGTTAACGGAGAGGTGCAACGGCGATTATTCACTACTTCAGGCCCTAAGCCTACAGTCTCCATGTTAACTGGTCAGGAGGATTTTGCAGACATTAGAAAACAACTTAAATTCTCAAAGGAGATTTTAGAAACCATCACTAAGCTTGCTGTTATGGCCTGGAAAAAGTTACCATCAGGGGAAGGAAAGACCACTGTTCTATCAGGAATTAAGCAACGGCCTGAGGAGCCATATGAGGAATTCATAGCTAGGTTGGAGGAAGCTATTACAAGAATGTTCCTTCCTTCTGAGGGATCTCAAATCATTCTCAAACAATTGGCATAGGGGAATGCTAATATTGTGTGTCAGGAATTAATCAGGCCAGTAAGAAAAACAGGAAGCCTACAAGACTATGTTAAGGCTTGCATAGATGCTTCTCCTGCTATGATTTAGGGACTTGCATATGCTGCTGCCATGAAAGAAACGCCTTTTCAAACATATGTGAAAAAGGTAACCAGAGGCTCAGGATATAATCCTGAACAGAGAGTATGTCATAATTGTGGCAAACCAGGCCACGTTCAAAAGGAGTGTAAAGCTCAAAAGCAACAGAAGGGATCAGGAAAAGCACCAGGCTTATGTCCTCGGTGTCAAAGAGGGAACCCTTGGAAAAGTGATTGTAAATCTAAGTTCCATAAAGACGGAACTCCTCTTCAAGAGGAAACAAAAAACGGACGGAGGGGCAACCTCTCAGCCCCTCCCCAAGAGAGGAACTAAAGCAAACTATTCATGACTTGCCTAGAGCCACTCCAGGGAGTGCTGGATTGGACTTGGCTGCCGCTCAAGATCATATCATATCCCGAAATAATGGGGTTGTACTGATAAGAGACAAACATAAAAGGGGAATTCCCTTCAGGAGTAATGGGCCTAATCATAGGCCGGAGTTCAAACTATAAAAAGAATTTTGAGGTTTTACCAGGAGTAATAGACTCAGACAGTCCTACCACTATAAAAGTCATGATAAGGTCTCTAAAAGAGACTATTCAAATTCATAAAGGGCAGAGGATAGCCCAAATACTTTTACTTTCATATCTAAAGTTGCCTAATCCCACCTTGACTCAAAACAGAGAAGGAGGGTTTGGCACCACAGATACTGTAGCCTGGGGTCAGGAAATTACAGATAAAAGGCCTTACAAGGCCATTAAGGTCAATGGAAAACAAATAACAGGACTCTTAGACACAGGAGCTGACAGATCCTGTATAGCTGGAAAAGATTGGCCTATGACCTGGCCAGTGCAGGAGACTTCTTACTCCCTAATTGGATTAGGGATGGCTTCTAATGTAGCTGTCAGCTCAGAAACTCAAATGGGTACGTGAAGGGCAGCAAGGCCACTTCAAACCTTATGTTATCCCCAGCTTGCCCTTTTCTTTGTGGGGCAGGGACATCATGCAGGACATGAATATACAAATAGGACAAATAGACTCCTCATCAAAGGAGCAAAATTTTTCATAGGGGCCGCTGAGGAACAGCTTTATGCTGACAAAATAATATGGAAAAGTGATGATCCTGTATGGATTAATCTGTGGCCCCTAACTCAAGAAAAGATTCAAGCCATACAGGACTTAGTTCTAGAACAATTGAGTCAAGGAAGGATAGAAGAGACTACCAGTCCATGGAATACTCCAATTTTTGTAATAAAAAAGAAGTCAGGAAAATGGAGGTTATTACAAGATTTAAGGGCAATTAATGAGACCATGCATGACATGGGAGCCCTTCAACCAGGCCTACCCTCTCCTGTTGCAATCCCACAGGGTAGATGTATAATAATAATAAACTTACAGGATTGCTTTTTTACAATAAAATTACAACCAGAAGATTCCAAGAGATTTGCCTTCAGTGTCCCTTCGGCTAATTTTAAACAACCTTATGATAGGTACCAATGGAAAGTGCTACCTCAGGGCATGAAAAACAGCCCTACCTTTTGTCAACAATATGTAAAGAGGGCTATAGAACAAATTAGACAAAAATATCCAGAGGCATATATTATTCATTATATGGATGATATACTTATGACCGATGAAACTAGAGAAAAGACAGAGAAAATATTACAGGATATGGTAGAACAATTAACAAAATTCGGGTTAATAATAGCTCCTGATAAAGTTCAACAAGAACAACCTTTAAATTATCTAGGAAAAGTGATTGGACATGATTATATTATGTCCCAAAAGACAGAAATTAGAATAGATAAACTAAAAACATTAAATGATTTCCAAAAATTATTAGGGACTATTAATTGGATTCGGTCTAGTTTAAAAATAACTACAGGACAATTAGATCCTTTGATGAAAATGTTGAACGGAGATCCTAATCCTAAATCTACCAGGGAAATAACTCCTGCAGCCCTATCCTGTATAAGATTGGTAGAAGAAGCATTGAATACAGCTAAAATACAGCAAATTAATATTACACAAACAGGGTCCTTTATAATTCTGGCTACAAGCTTCACTCCCACAGGATGTTTTTGGCGGGATGGGATACTGGAATGGATCCATTATTCCCATAACCCTGGAAAAATAGTTGCTTCATATCCCTTCTTATGTGCTAATTTGATTCTAAAGGCTAGATTAAGAGCTAGAGAATTATTTGGCCAAGAAATACCTAACATTATTGTCTCCTATAATAAGAAACAATTAGATCACTTGATACAATTTGATGATGATTGGAAAATTGCTGTATTAACTTATACAGGTAAAATAAGCTTTCATATGCCCCAACATCCTTTGTTACATTTTATACTGAAACACCTGTGATTTTTCCAAAAGTTGTGGTTACAGAACCTTTGGCGGGGCATTAACTATTTTTACAGATGGATCTTCTAGTGGAAAGTCTGTGGTTTATTGCAGCACAAGACCACCATTAATATCTTATGACCCAACTGTATCTGCACAACAGGCAGAACTCATTGCAGTTCTGCTAGCATTTCAAAATTATTCAGAGGAGTTTAACCTTTACACAGATGTGTGTGGTTTCCTTGTTTCCTGCCATTGAAACAGCCCTAGTTACTGGTCAATCTAAAGTTAAAGAATACTTAGTAAAATTACAACAGCTATTACGACAAAGAACGACAAAGGTATTTGTGGGACACATCAGGGGGCATACCAATCTCCCTGGACCTTTGTCTCAAGGGAATAAGTTTGCAGACTTATTAACTAAGGAAAGTCATGTAATGTCAGCTTTAGAAGAAGCTCAGGAAAGTCATAGACTACATCATCAAAATGCTAATGCCTTAAGAAAGATGTTTCAAGTGTCCCGAGAACAGGCAAGACAAATTATCAGGGAATGTGAGGCATGCCCAGAAGTTTTTCATCCACAAAAAATGGGAGTTAATCCTAGAGGCTTAAAGCCTAGAGTGTTGTGGCAAATGGATGTTACCCATGTAACAGAATTTGGGAAAATCTCCTTTGTCCATGTTACTATAGATACTTATTCTCATGCCATGGTTGCTACAGCCCATTCTGGACAGGCTGTGAAAGATGTTATTCAACATTTGATTAATGCCTTTGTGGACCTAGGAATTCCCAAGGAAATAAAAACAGACAATGGACCAGCATACACCTCCAAAGCTTTTGCTAAATTTTGTGCACAATGGAAAATCGTGCACAAAACAGGGAATCCGTATAATCCACAAGGCCAAGCAATAATAGAACGGGCTCATCAGACCTTAGAAAACCAATTGACAAGAATTAGACGGGGAGGAGGGAAGCAATACTCCCCCCATTACACTCTTAATCATGCTTTGCTGGTCCTTAATCATTTCAATGCTGATGAGCAAGGAATAACCCCGATGATGAGACATTGGGGCATGGAAAAAACTACAACTTTCCTTTAGTAAAATGGAAGGATCTACTCACTGGAACCTGGCGTGGGCCAGACATCCTGTTAACATCTGGGAGAGGCTATGCTTGTGTTTTCCCACAGGATGCAGAATCCCCCATTTGGGTCCCAGACAGACTCATCAGGCCTTTCTTGGTCCCAAAAAAGAGCCAGGAAGAAAGTGAAAATACATCGGGAGAGAAAACTGGTGCAGAAGATGAAGACATTCTCTCTATCACCACCGCAGGCTGATTCTACAAAAATCGCTGCACCACCTACGTGGGAACAGATCAAGAAGTTGTGCGAGGAAGCTCGACACACTGTTGAGATCACCGGAAATCAACCCAATCCGGAAAACATGTTTTTAGCCATGCTTGCCCTTGTTTCTTTACAGGTGAAGTACGCTTTTTGTACAATGTATTGGGCGTATGTTCCTGATCCACCTTTGCTTCACCCCGTGGGTTGGACTCACCCATCTAACATAAAAGTACTAATGAATGATACCTCTATACTAGGGGGCATTCCAGTGGGGTCAGAAAAGTCTATGATCTCCACGTATCTAGATTATGAGGGAAGATCTGATGTCATCCCTATATGCTTGGCTTTAAAAGGCCGTGCTCCCTTTGCATGCTTGCCTGTTCAATACAGGACCCTTTATGCTGATGCACCTGATAAGACTAACACTGCTTCTAGCAGTAAGAGGGAGATGTGGGAATTGAGTTTTCAAATACTTGGGTATTTTAATTACAATGAGACCTTTGACAAAGATAACAATGTTAGCATGCCTTTTCCAAATTGTTTAACAACTTACCGGGATAAAGATCAATTTTGGGACAGCAAAACAGAAAAAGAACTTCCAAAATGGTTGGATTGTGGATTTCCACATTCTGCCTCTGTACATTGGCCTAGGGGTACTACAGATTTGGTATTTGATTTTTCCATTGCCAACCCAACTTATGACTATAAGAAATATTTAAAAGAAAATGAGAAAGTAAAATTCACAAGCTATAAAGCTCCGGTTAGCCCGGAACCGGTAAGGCGTTGGTTCACGCCTGGGTTTGTCACCCCAATGTGGGTTGCTAAATCTAGTCATTATAGAACCACCATTACTCATAAAAATTTGTTTAGATTTGCTGCAGCTGCAAATATGATATTGCTAAAAAAGCCCAAAGCTAACCTACCAGAATCAATTGCATTAAGAGCTTGTTTGTCTTATCCATATGCAGCTTTAATTGGAAGTGATAAAAGAATTAATATTACACAAGTAGGGAATTCCTTTTTAATTCAATGTTACTCTTGTCGGTTGACCAACTGTGTTGATGCTTCCATAGATAAAGAATTTTCAGTAGTAATTATTGTAAAAAGACCTGAATATGTAATGCTTCCTGTAAATTTGCATAATGATCATTGGTTTGATAATTCTGCTTTGCAAACACTTCGTGTTTTGTATGAATTAATACGACCAAAAAGATTTGTTGCAACATTGATCTTTGGAATTGCTTCCCTTATAGCATTAGTAACCTCGCTTGCTGTATCCACCACTGCACTAATACAACAAGTGCACACGGTGCATTTTGTTAATGAGTTAAATAAGAATGTTTCTCTACCATTAACAGAGCAGTAAATCATTGATCAAAAGTTAGACAGCAAACTAGAGGCTTTGGAGGAAGTAGTCTTAAAGTTAGGGACTGAAGTTAATAATCTTAAAATCCAGCTGACCACTAGATGTCATCAGTCATTTAAATGTATTTGTGTTACCCCATTGCCTTATAATGACAGCTTAGATTGGGAAGCTATCAAAGTGCATCTACAAGGAATCTGGAAGGACAATAGCTTAACTCATGATATAGGACAGCTACAGGAAGACATTTCAGCCCTTAGTCAAGCTCATTTGGAAACCGCAGGGATAAATTCTTTGGCAGAAGACTTACAGAAAGGATTAAAAAGTCTTAATCCTTTAGATTGGTGGCACTACTTGGTTACATTTGGAGTCATAACACTAATTGTTATATGTATTTTCTTGTTGTCTTTCCAGTCCTCTTCAAACTAGTCTTCCGCTCCATCTCCTCTATACGAGGAGAAATTTCTCTGGCACATCTAAAAAATAAAAAAGGGGCAAATGCCACGCCTACTCCAGTGGAGTCTGCTTAGCATGGGAAACCATCTTTCAGACCTGAGAAAGGGGCTTTAGAGACCTATCTCTGAGTATTGGGACTTCACCGAAGTCTACCTCGGAGAATAGGGCTTCTAAGAGGCTTACTCCTGGAATGGCTGACAAACCCCTGGGAAAGATGTGTTTCTGCCTTTCTTTTCCTCATAAGAGTGCCTATTAATCTTTTACTGCTTCTACTGCTCTTTGTACTTACTCATTGTCAACGTTCCTTTATTCAAAGCTCTTAAGAGTGTTGACGACTCCAATATCTGATGAGTATCTTAAAAAATATGACTAACTCACCAGAGTTAAGTGCTACCCTGAAACCCCTCTTATGGAGGCTAGTAGACAAGTTATAAGTAAATATAAAAGTATTGGGGGTTTCACGAAGTCACTTCAGCAGAAGGAATTGTTTGTAAGGGACTTACAAGAAGCTGTAGGCTCAGCTAGAGCAGAAAGAATGTATGGCAATTGCTGAGATAACTATTTAGGAGAAAGAATTTCCTGCTACTCTCTTTTATTTACTAAGAGACTTGCTAGATCTAGGTCTCCTTGAGGTTTACTATTAAAGAAGAAACAGGAAAGATCTTATGGGAAAGTTAAGGCCTCTATAAAGATAGGTAATGGTTAATTGGTGACAAACATTGTAATCATTGTATTTCTTAGAGATAAGCCGGAAACAAGTGCCTATCAGGTAACCAGCTGGTGACCACCCAAAAATGAAGCCATGCAGCAAGATTGTGTAACCTTTGCCCTTTCTCATGAAGACTTTTGCTATAAAAGTTTGTTATCCTCTGCATTAAATCACACTCAGCATCCACTCCTCTTGTGTGTGAGTTGTCTGTTGGCCATCTCCCCATCCTATTCCAGGTTCCTCCCCTAGGTGTCCTCCGTCGTCCCGACAGAGCCCGGTCTGCGGCACCATGTCTTGATTTTGAATGGTTAATTGGAGATCAAAGTTTCAGTGTTGCACATGTTCATTCTTTGTCCCTCCTTTTCCATGACCCCTTTAACTTCTGAAAGAGAGATAAATGTAAAAAAATGACAAAAATGAAATCAAATAATTATCATCTTGTTTCTGTTTCCTGGTAACTGATTATTTTTGAGATAGTGCTTCTTACTAATAAGAATTATTGGTAGAATCTGAAAACATATTTGAGTAATAAATAGATGAGGAAAAATGTTGTCTCCTATTTTTTATCACTACATTTCTTTTTGTCTAAGTATAAATGCCATACTTACACTAAGTGCCTAGAATAAGCAAAATGACTTATAGAGCTCAGATCATATCTTTCCACAGAAGATGACAGCCCCAGAAGAAAAACAGGGCAACAACTTGCACAAGAAAGAGAGAGTTTGATGTCTCCTTAAATCTTAGGATCAAATGCTCATGAGGAGCCCTCGGGACTGATGACAGCTTAAGGACCTAACATTTCCTGTGTCATTCCATCAAAGGAAACAGTCACCAGTCTCCCATCACACTGTAGGTGCCACGCCTGACTGTTGACCTTGGCTGTGTCATGAGAACGTGCAGCAGGGCTCTGTCATGGTCACTGGAGAGTCAGGATTGCACACTAAGAGGACATTCATGAAGGTGGTAACAAGGCCTGAGTCAGGGTTTTGTCAGATCTAGATGATTTGTAACAGGCACTACTGTCTTCTGGCTAAGAATGTGGATATATCATCGGGGTCTTGCACACAAATTTATCAAGTGTTAGCTTGCAACATTTCCGTATGAAAGCCAACAAAATGTCATCAATGCCCTCTGAACATATTCTCATCAATATTTAGTAAGTAAAAAGCTATAAAATCAAGTTCATCATGAGGAAAATACCGATATGAAAACCAAATTGCAGGAGCATTTACAAAACATGTTTTTCTGTATGTATCAAATGTGACAAAATATTAAAAGTTAATGAAGCTGGGAAAGTTAAATTGATTTCCTTTTTTATTATGGTTGCAACTATCTTTTACATTTCAACTACATAACAAAAAGAAGGTAGGGGAATCACCACCGGTGGCTCACACCTGTAACTCTAGCTATTTAGAAATCTGAGATCTGAGGAAAGTGAATTGAAGTTAGACTAGTTAGGAAAAACCAGTGAAACTTTGATCTCTGATTAACCATTTAAAATCAAGACATGGAAATTTGGTTCAAGTAGTAGACTCTTACCCTTGATTACAAAAGCTAAAGGTCAGCTCCCTGAATTCAAGCTCCAGTATTCACACACACACACACACACACACACACACACACACACACACACACACTCTCTCTCTCTCTCTCTCTCAAAAATAACCAGTGACCAGGAAAAAGAAACAAGATATTTATTTTCTTTCATTTTTGTCTTTTTTTTTTACATTTATCTCTCTTTCAGAAGTTAAAGGGGTCATAGAAAAGGAGGGACAAGGAATGAATATGTGTAACACTGGTATTCAATTGGTACTATGTTGAAAATGACCTATGTAATTTGTTTTTTTGGAAGGATGGGAAAACGGAAAAAGAAAAAGTGAAAGGTTAACATTGTCCAAAAGAAATGCATTCAGTGAATTAGAGCTATGGCTCAATTTGAGTGCCATTATTCAGCAAAAGAGCTCAGAGAGAGAGTCCAGGCTCTGGATTCAAGCTTCATTATGGACTAAAACAAAAAAAAATCATTACCACAAGATTGTAACTAAACCCTTTACAGCATAATAATAATAATAATAATGATAATGATAATGATAATAATGATAATAGAAGAAGATGATGAAGAAGAAGAAGGAAGTTAAAAAAACCAAACTAGTGAGAAAAATTGATAGAGCAAGGGAAGGACTGACCTTTCAAAAAGAAATATATCCATACCTGACTTATATGACTGCAACCTCTGTGTAATTCACATTTATAATAATAATACAAAAGAAAAAAACAGAAATTTAGTGCTGGAGTCATAACTCAAATGGGAGGTCATACTAATATGTATGTGATACGAAGGTCAAACCCCTTATAAATTTCTCCTTCAAAAATGGCTCTTCTCATCACTTGTGCTTTCCAGAGCTTATGAAAGGGGGTGCAGCTAAAGAAAGAGAAAGATAATCTGTCAGGCACAGAACTGTACTTGCAAAGAGCAGTACTCAATAGAACACGTGTTTACTAGACCACATGATGACTCCATGTTTTCTGAAATAAACAGAACTAGTTGGGCTTGAATACATTCTCCACTGTATACTAGATGGGGACTCAAAATTAATGAAACTCTCTGGATCTCAAATTCTTTACAGGTAAAGTGAGCATAACAATACATATCTTATGGGATTATGAGACCTGGTTGTCATCAAACATGGAGTGGGTTTTATCTTAGGTGTGTGTGCAACACTCAAACACTGCTGGAAGGAGTATAAACTGGCATGATGTTTACTATGTTACTTAACAGTAATACAACATGCCTGTAATAATACTTACAAAAGAGGATGAGAAAAGAGGATCAAGGTTTTAAGTCTGGACAGGAAACTGGATCAGACTCATCTCTAATGATCTCTAAAAAAGCTTGAGGTGGAGTTTGGTTCAAGTGGTAGAGTGCTAGACTGGAGCATAAGCCTCAGAAACATTGCCCAGGCCCTGAGTTCAAGCCCTAGGACCAGCACAAGCACACACACACACACACACACACACACTAAATTTTGTGTGTTCCTACCCCCCGCTTAACAATATATTCCCTCTTCCAAGCTCACCTGATTTTTTTTGTTTTAAAAGGGACTTCCTGTGTAGCACAGGCTGCTCCTAAACTTACAATCCTCCTGGGAACTGGGAGTACAGGCATGCCTACTATAATTGGCTTCACTCAGCAACTCTATTTATAACATATTTGCAAGAAATTCATTCATACTCATGAAGATATTTGGCTTAAAGCTGCTCACAGTAATATTATACTGCACAAAATGTAAATAACTGGGCATGGTACTATCTTACCATATGGTAATACCAGCCAATAATTAGGAACCTGACACAGGAGAATAAGCAGATGAGGAAAGCCTGGTCTACACTGCAAAACCTGGTCTCCAAAGGAAAGAAATTCTATAAATATTAATCTACGATGAAACATACAATATGTTAAATTTATATAATGTAACAAATAGACCATTGTTAATAGAAATAAAATCGTGGCAGAAATTTTAAATACATACATATGCATATATATTTAAACTTAGAGAAGTAAAATTTCAAGTGCTTCAATCTGCATCTTTCAGTCTACCTGTCACCTACTTATTTACTGACACATTGATTTCTAATTAGTCTTCACAAAACACTGTTCTCACACATAAGTACACAAAATTGTAAATCAAAAAGTACAAAACAAACATTATCATAAATACAAATATAGTTAAATCCCTACCATAATAATTTGGAGAAAACATACATTAAGTTAATGGCATTGTATACTGCTCAGGAGGGGGAGTCAAGGAAAACGTAGATTGTGTGTGTGTGTGTGTGT